CACACAGACAACCCCGTAACAATATGCGTTTTGTTCTGCTGTTACACAGCACAAAACGCATAAAAAGAGCAAAAGATAGAAGTTTGTTTTTGATCAGCAGAGTTGCATGTACAATTTTTATCGAAGTTACAGTGATATACAAATTAATTGGTAGGGACAAAAACATACTGTTTCATTGGTTTCGTCTCATTTTCATTATCAGTTTAGTTGATTGTTTTGGATAAAAAGACGTATATTTTAACTGGATAAGACAAATTGGTGAACAGAAAAATTTGGCTAGGCAACCTTGAACTATAATATCAGTTCCTGCGAGGAGATAAATTCACTTAGCAATAACTGGTACTTGCGGGAGAGGGGGTAGGGGGGAATGATTGCTCCAGCTTTGTCTTCGAAGAGTTCAGGCACATACATATAGTAAAGATAAGTTCCGGAGACATGTTATTCGCTGGAATCAGTTCTGCCATAAGTTCTGTATGGCTGAACTTGTGAATGTGTCCGAGATTATGTCGGTGGCTAGGAAATTAGGACGAAACCTGTTTCAAACTTGATTTCTTCTGAGAGGCAAAAACACAGGAAAGTAACAGGTAGGAAAGTCATCGTCTGCTTTGGGCATCAGTCCTAGCTGAAGCAGCTTAATGGATTATTCCGCCTAGTACCGTGATGAAGTGCGTTCGCAGATCCCCATCATCCTATGCGCCACTTATTCAACTAAGCATTTTTCACCTCCAGAAAGTTAATTTCTTTTTTTCTGAACGCTGTAAATTCTGGAATGTTGATGAAAACGATGAAAACGGATGGCTATTCACTGAAATTTGTTCATGTATATTTTTTTCCGGATTTTTAGATGGTGGAATGGAAGAACTGGCAAAAAGTTTTGCACCCGGTAAACTACAGTACGGCATTGGAGCTGTGAAGCGGGGTGGCTCCGGCAGTGCAAAGATTGTCCTCATTCACTGGGTATGGCTCGCATGCTTTTTCATCATTCAGCAACATTGCATAACACTCAGTGGTGTATGTCAACTTCTCATAAATTCCCGACGTTATTCAGTTGCAGTGGATAGTTGCGCCACTTTCACACACTGGTTAGAGAGGCAAATCAAAAGCACAGAGTGCGGGAAAAGTAAGATCGGTACAAAGCAAACAGATACGGCTATTCTTACCCAAGTTAGTTTAGGCAGACCTAGCTGACTGTTTGATCGCCGCCTTTAGTACTGTCACGTTCAAGGGTTATATTCGTCCTTGGGTTCGTTTATCAGGCATATTCGTACTTGGGTTTGTTCATGAAGCATATTGTCATTTTTTTCCACCCAAAAGTCGTTTATATGATTTCTGAAAGAATTATTTGGCTGGCATTGTGTGAGAAGTTTTTGGCTTTAGAAGTAATGCTATGACTGGGACTATATTTCAGCAAGGTGAAGGTGTTCCATCGTCACGTCTTGTGGCAACAGCAAATCATGCCACTGATTTGAAACGATTTCTTCGCGGTATTCACGTGGTGCGTCCTTCTGCTATATTTTTTTACCCCTCTAAGAATAAATTTGTTGAATGCGATTGAGCGGGCGCCTTCCGTTGTAATTTCCGCACTAATTGGTGAATTTTGTGCGCTTTCTTTACTTCCGCAGTCATTTGGAGGCAAATTTGTGAAAGGATTCCGAATGAATGATCAGATTTCAAATGGTAGCACTTATGGCAAATCCAGCAACGTAGCAGCATTAAGTTTGCTGTTCTCGAATCCGAACTGTTTCTGTTCTGAAAGAAAAAGTTCCACGACGAACTGCAAACTGATGATGCATCGCAATTTGCCAGGCTGGAGCAGCCTTCAGTTAATTGCGCTACGAGCGAATCATTAGCAGTCTTTCATGCAGTATGTAGTGCGGTGAACAGATGCCGATATTGCTCTAAGTTAGCCCATATTTTTGAATTATAACTGTTGTCCGTTAAATGAAGTTTAGTGGAACTCAAGTCTTAAATAGAATAAAAGGCAGTACGGGCCTCAAAGGTCCTGTGGGGAAATAGAGGAGAATAGTATCCAGGGGCCGAAGCAGCGGTCCAATTAGAGAAGGGTATTGAGCGGCTGGGGATGCACCAACCCTAAATGCAGTAGGAATAAGGAGGGATAGGACGGTGGCCGTCCAGAATCGATGGTGTAATTACAAGGTAAACTTTTTTTGTGTGCGACACTCCAAACGGTGCTTACGGTTCAGTTTAAATTACCAGGTTATGATTGCTCGAAGTGAAGAAGACGTGGATATGGAAAGTATATTACGTGTTGTCGGTAGGTTACCAGGTGTCAACGAAATAATTCCGACAACAGCCAGTTCGTCAGAGACAGCTGCTGGTCCAGCTCCAGTTGGAACTAACTATCGACCGGTGAAAGCCAAAAAGTTAATTAGTAGTCAGTTTATTAAATTGAAAGCCCAAGTTCGTCTATGATTCGCCTTCATACAGAAGGAAACGCGGAGTTACTCCAAAGTAGGTCTAGCGATGGCGCACTTCTGACATCAGTCACCCGCTAGAAAAACTATCGACAATCTCTTCTTCATGCATTTTTTTTGAAGCCAACAAAATTTCTGGCTACTTGATATACTGCGTCACGAAGCGAACTATGAGAAAAGCAGAGAAATTGTAGATGGGCTAGTTTTCTGGCTGCGCCAAACCCTGGTCTTTCAGCCTGAATGCAGGAAGGGGTGTTCGTTTGGGGGTGGGGGGTGGAGAGGGGGTTAGATACCGTCGCAAATATACGGTGATGTTTTAACTTGAGATAGCCTGAAGTATGAGAAACGATCGTCGGCTAATGGCCGATTGTCACATCTTTCCAGTGATATCAAAATATGCATAGTAAAGTTGTACGCGAACGTAGAAACTGGGACTCTTAGAAAAATTCCTGTGGGCATTTGTGCTTGTATTTGCAGAATGCCGATTTAATTGTCTAACTGCAAAATTAGTTAAATTCATCCTTACAACAAAGCACTTATCGGCACAATCATAGAGTTATGTCAATCTTGCCTCAAATTCACACATTTGTGCAGTCCAGCCTCGGTAGATCTTGTCATTCTTCCTTTGTGAATGCGTTTTGAGGTCATATCTCCTGCATATTTCACACTTTTTTGAGATGTGGACATCTACAAGTATCCTGATGGGCAGCATATGCGAGTAGCATCAGCTGCTGACTGCTAATTGCCCTCGTTAATTTCCCCATTCTGGGAGAAAGCCGAAAAGCTGATTGCTTTGCATTTCAGTATTTCTTTCGTTTGTTTTTTTCTGTTCTCCAGCAAACAATTATTTAAATCTCTTTTGCAAAAAGTAAGGAAGTAAAATGAAGCCAGCTGTTGCAGCGAAATTAGTGCAGCATGCCGAGATAAGTTCTGGAAGGACGTTAGGACAGAAGAGAATATACGGCTTGCCGAAGAAAGGAGGCGAGAAAAGGAGAAGAATGATAGAGTTGTGCAAGATCGAAATGAGTTGAACGAAAGACTGCATGCTCAGCTCTGTTTGCAGGAGCAAAATAAGCAAAAAGGTATTTTGAGAATTATGAATACAGATACATTTTGAATTAAACTGAAAATTGAATGAAATCATTATCTGACTAGGGATGCGCTTTTGGCGTATTTTGCATGCGTAAGGTCATCTTGGAAAATGATTTTTTGGTTGTCATCATTATGATAACTGCAGTTTCAAAGGCAGATTTTAAAAGCTAAAAGTTTGAAAAGCCTGGAAAATGAGGGTTACAGCGAATAGTTTTTTCTTAAAAAAATTAAAGCGGACAACAAAATTAAAGCGGCAACTTAGATTTAAAAAAAACCCCGTGAGTTCCAGCACGATTTTCTTAAAAAAGAGAAGATAGCGGTCGATACACGTTTTAAATTTCTGAATGAATTTTTGGTAATTTTTAACTTCTCAAAAAATTCGGGAAATTTATTTCTTTGGAAAAATTATGACTCTGTTTTTTTTTTTTTTT